GCTCCTTACTGATGAGAATTTTTATGAGCTAATCGATCATGTGTACTTGTGATGTCATAGTGGCAGGTTTGGGTCACTGGTACATATAAGTGGAGCTAAGGTTCAGTCATCCTCGATATCCAGGGGTAGCGACATCCTCGATATCCAGGGGTTACGACATCCTCGATATCCAGGGGTTACAACATCCTCGATATCCAGGGGTTACGACATCCTCGATATCCAGGCGTTACGCTCATTTTCGCTCTCTACACCCCTGCAACATGTCACAGCAAAATTGAAGGCACGAAGATAGCTGTTTGATTGGTCTCGGGTAAAAACAAGAGGCCCAGAGGGCCTGTATCGCTCAACCTGAATATGTTTAAAATAATTGGTATCAAGTAAAGATATAGCAAATCATGGTAGGTGCTGTAAGTACATATGAATTTTCAGAAAGATCCATCCAGTACTTGAGATATAGTGAGAATAAACTTCAAACAGAGCCCCACCCGTATGCCCCTAGGGGTGTCATACCCACCGTTTATACAAGATTGAGTCCCCTTGGCCCAAGGATGCTCCAGACTAAATAAGGATAAAATCCCTTAATCCCAATGGTCGAAGAAGGATTTTAAAGGTTTTACCTCTATTTCCCCTATTGGGGCCCTGCCCCTCAGCCCCCATGGGAGCCAGACCCATTCTTTATACAAAATTGGTTCCCCTTCCCCCAAGTATGCTTCAGACAAAATATGGAACAAATCCATTCATTCCTACAGAAGAAGAATGATTTTAAAGAATTTGTTATATTTTCCCTATTGGGCCCTGCCCCTCAGCCCCCAGGGGAGCCAGACCCACTCTTTATACAAAATTGGTTCCCCTTCCCCCAAGTATGCTTCAGACCAAATATGGAACAAATCCTTTCATTCCTACAGAAGAGGAGGATTTTAAAGAATTTGCTATATTTCCCCTATCGGGCCTCGCCCCTCAGGCCCCTGGGGGGCCAGACCCTTGGTTTATACAAAATTTGTTTTCCCTTCCCCTAAGGATGCTCCCGACCAAATTAGGTCAAAATCTGCTCAGTCGTTTATGACAAGTAGCAATTTTTAGGAAAAGTTGCCAGATGCAGCATAAGCTCACGGTATATGAAAGCCAGTTCTTGATTCAGGGATGTTTTCTTGCTATTTTGTCAAAAAAGAAATAATCAAAAACATATCTATGTTATAATGATACTTTTATTGTCTGTTTCTTCTTAGACAAGTCTTTGATATACAAAGTAGTTGTATGTATACACAACAGAATTTAACAATACATAATATCACAGTAGTGTTGGCTATAGATACTTTTACATACCGCTGAAACACAGTACAGTTTTGTATTAGTAGTCAATGATACATACTTGTTAGCTCTCCAGCACACAGAAGTAACATTGTTGAAAAAATGTTGTTCATTTTCAGGTACCAGGTACATGTATTATTTCCTGAAAATATTGCTTTTCTCATTACATTCATAGATGAAATAAACTAAATGTAAAATGTACAGATTTGTCACTTTTCGCACACAAAAATATACAAACAAGGTCAATCTGTAATTAGAGCTATTCTATTGAAATATGTACATCTAACGACATCTGAAAAAGTAAAAATACTTATATTCCAGGAAATAATGTAGCTAAAACCCTTTTATGTTGGTTATGGCCAATTTTTTAAAAACATGAAGTCTGAAGATGAAGTACATATTTTAATTGAATAGCCCTCAAGGAGGCATCCTACCTTACATAATAAACATATGATTTGTGACAGAGTTATCTCCCTTGATTGTGTGCATTATGGATGTGTTCTTTCTCAGTATAAATCCCTGTTTACCGATTTGTTACGGAGGAACTCTCCTGGATAGAAGATAAATTCAATATCGCAGTGACATAGTATATCAAATATCCTTCCTCTCTCCATATCATGAGTATAAGGCCAAATGGCATCATATGTTTGTTTCCACATCATGATTTCTGTCACTTTTTAAATGTTTTGGAAATTAAAAAAAGATTATTGATTTCCTAAGTAAACCTTTCGCCTACTAAACTGTTACATAGAAAAGTATATATTTTTTTTACATTTAAAAAGCAACTGGTGACATGGAATATGACTTATGTCCATATCATAAAATTAAATTCTAATACTTTTCAAACTATTTCTCTATCAATACCATAAAATTAAAATCTAATACTTTTCAAACCAATTCCCTTTACGTTACAAACAAAAATAAACTAGAGTACCCAAGCTTTTGACAAAACATGAAAAAACCCACATTTATTTCACTTGGCCTTAATGCCTTAATTACTCTTCATTATACGTCCAATAGTGTTTCATTAGAAACTACCACAAAGTCAATTGCCATTGACCGTAACAGGATACAAAACAGAAAATCTTAACGTACAACATGCACGCTGTACCAAGGTACTAGATTTCTTTCGAACTATATAATCTCACAATGATTTCATGTCCAGATAAAATGACGTCATGAAAAAGCAAGGTTAATATACAAAGCACCTATTTCGTATCTACAAACAGGACATCTATGCAATACGAAGTATTCACAAGTAGCGAATCTTTAATATAAGAGTTATTTTAGATATATTAAAATACAGAAAACTTTTCAAATTTTTTTCTTTCTATTTTTCAAAATTTGTAAACTTTGGGCTGTACATGGGTGAAAAAGAGGTGAAGGTTGATGATATCTAAAATGGAAATACTACAATTAATGATAAATAATTGAACACTATTTGCAAGTATCAACATATGCATGAAAAACCTTTTTTAAAATAATACACAATTTTATAGGAAATTTTGGTCATGACGTCGGCAACATGAAAACAGTCTGACCTGTTTAATCTGACAACCTGGCCACACAACCATTTGGTTAGATTAACTTGTTTAATCTGACACTCTATTTGAAACAATAAAGCAGGTTTTCAGATAACATAGGTATCATCAGGTAGTTTTTCCTAAGAGGTGGCATCACAGCATTTTGGTATCTTGGAAAAGACAGAATGTTGGAATGCATAGGGGTTAGGTTAGACAGGATGTCAGGAAATAACAGGTTATTGGAACACTTGAAGGTCATATTAGCCAGGATGCTGGAATACTCAGGGGTCAGATTAGACAGGACATCAACATAGTCAGAGTCAGGTTAGATAGGTTAATAACATTTATTCCAATGTTACATCATATTTCCAATAAAATACTTGAACAGTCACACCTTTCAAAAAAATATACATCGAAAACAAAAGCACACACACATTATACAAAAAAAAACACAACAAAACTCTGCATTTCTTTATGTAACAGAAAAAGGTCATGATTTTCCTTTGACAATACTTGATAGTTGCGGATTGTCAAACAACATGTCACAGAGCACTTTTAAAACCAACAATTAAAGAAAGAGAGGTAAACAAGAGGTTATCACCTCTTCACGGCTCAAGTTGAATCAACTTTATATCAGCAGTGTTCTTTAACTGGTATATGTGTACCGTGTTCTTTCGAAAATTAATTGCACACAACCTTTATCATATGACAGATATTAATGTTTTCATTCATATGGATGTTGCTTTTTTTTGAAAACCAGATACCTTTTAGATGTAAAGGATGAGTGTACCAATATGAGATTTTTCACAATATCAAGTAAGACACATATATACCTATTAGGAAAGAAAGCACATTTCATGTAAATATATCAATCATGTGGCATTGCTTCCCCAATACTCCTTTTTATGTTGTACAGTAGTACCCGATTATACTGCCATCATTTGTCAAGAGAAAGTTTGGTGTTATAAAGGGGTTTGGCGATAAATTGAGGGAAATGTATAAAGGAGAAAGGAACATTGAAAGATGTTGGCAGTAAATGAAGTGGCAAATGAAATGCAGAGCATTATATCACGGTTTTACGCTATATACTGAACACTTATCGTCCATATAACTGAGGTACATACACAACTATATTAGCACCTATGTGGAATAGGAAGTATCAAAACCAGTGTTTCTGGCGTATAGTTACCTCTCATGTTGTGGCATTCATCCCTCATTTTGATGCTATGCATGAATTCCTGAATAGCAACACTGATAAAGAGGAGGATTGTCATTCCACTTCCGTATTATTTGTTTATTTTGTTTTGTTTTTAAATAGGGTAATACCTAATTTCAAACTGTAATTCCGTAAATTACATCACTAGAGATTAATATGGTACACTTCCATAGAAAATGACTTCAATATTTAATTTTAGTGAGAATTTGCCCATTTACATGTCCATACATCGTACTGCTAACTATAATAAATATTCAGGAACAAGAAGGACTGAAAACAAAACTGCAGCAAATATATAATCCCAAGTTTGCTTATTCTTTCATGAATAGGAAGATATTTCTCCAGAAAAATAATTGTATCCTACATCAATACAGGAAATTCTTATTGATTTCCCCTAATGAAAAATAAGGATATGAAATTTGAAATATCTTTGATCATGTATATATGTAAAAGTTAGAATTACAAGCATTTCACATTGAGCCATTAGCATGATAACTATAGGTCATTCATACCGGGAACGGTTTTACAAAGTGATTAACCCTTTCACCCCTATGTAACTTTAGTAGACTCTACCGTGCATTGATCTGGATGAGTCCATTATGGTCTGCAGTGGTGAAAGGGTTAAGAACATCAATGATCCACCGACACAGAGAAGTCAAAAACACAAATGTTATGACTGTGTGTTTTAATTTTTCTAAAATTTAACAAGCAAGAGTCAGTCAACACATAGAATGTTATATGATTTGTTGATTGACTATTCTATGCTTAATTAAAGGGGCTTTCACAAAGAATTACATATTCTTGATGTAGTTTAAATAACTGCTTTAAAAAACTATCTGTATATAAAACTTATATCATCAATCATCCTACTGAATTAGTTAATAAAAACAAAATTCACCGATTGAAATTTTCCTGGATTTATATAAATAAAACATAAATTAACGAGATTAAAATTCTGTGATAATGTTTAATGTTTGTAGATGTAGTTCTCAGGAATGACAAACTATGAAACACTGGTACTAATTTCAAGCTTTTAAATGAAAAGTTGTCAAATGATCAGAATCACAAAGATGTTTTCCCTGAGTAGGGTGCTACCTCATAATATATGAGAGTCTGACACCAAAGAAGTTTGTTCATGAATAGCTGGCAATCTGATGTTACCGATTAAATCCTAGACAAAAGTTCGTTACTCTATCAGCACCACACAAGTTACCTCCGCTTGGTCAGTCATGTCGGATAAGTAATGGCACTTTGAATAAAGTTCCCCAAGTCTAACCTAGGTAGACCTGTTGTTAGGAAAGGTATCTACTATACTGGAAAGAAACACAATGCCTGTTACAAAAAGGACATATACATTACACTTCCAAGGTCCTGTGTTAATTTGCTCATAACAAGAAGTACATTAACATTATACGTTCAATGCCCTGTGCTTATTTGTTCATTTCACACAACCTATATATTCTCACAATGGAGAAAATGACCGGCATACTTGTATTATCCATTCCGATATAATTTTCCCGTGAATCTCCACATTCAAAACAAAGCAGTCACCTTCTTCAGAAATCGGAAACTTTTCTGGGCAACATACTTATATAAATTAACGTACACGTCAATGAATACAAAATAATGGATGGGCGTATGTATACGTTGTACAAACAGATGGTGTCATGTTTTGAGCGAGACATTATTCCCTCTTTCTCCTCTCCTGCAGTGGAAGGAGAAAAATTGTCACAGTTATCTCCCCTGTTTCCTCCATACTTTCCTCTGCAAAACATATCACATGTAATGCAACATAGTAATAATGCTGTAGAAAAAACACTGTCAATTATCACTTGGTAGATGACAGCTATGATGACAACAATGATATACAACATTCCTAGATGATTTTAGATACTGTATATATTTAATGCTTTACTGGACAGGCGCTGCCTAATTTTACTCCATAAAGATCAGCAGCATTGGCAGAGTAGATAGATGATTTCAGCCACTGTAGCTGATGCTGGGCTTGACAGCTGCCGCCAAATGCAGTCCGCAGGTGGAGATGACGACGATGATACAGGAAACGATTTTAGACCTTGTATTTATTCGCAGATTGCCACATTTGATGATAAATAGTGTATAAGAATTATAAGTCCTCTAATGCTGAAAAATATCAAGACCCCTCCTGGTTTCGGATTTCTTCGAGGCGCTGTGACAGGTACTTTAAATAGTCTAGAAGGAATCCCGACAGCCCTTGTTCTACTGCTGATTGAGGTATCCAGCCCTGCAGACACAAAACAAAATTACTGTATAAGTATTAAAAATATATAAAAAAAACAACAACGCAATATTGAATATTTATACCGTAGTATTTAAACCAGTACAGTGTACAACTCTCTGTGGATGGTGGATAACTGAACGACTCGTTAGTGAAACGGATGTAAAATCAATCAATCAATCAATCAATCAATCAATCAGTGGATGTCACTTTCGCCTCTTAGTATTATCTGAGTGTGAAATCTCTAAACAACACTGGACAACCATTACCAGGCCCTCCAAAGATGACAGTAATAGATTTATAACATCATCGCAATTACACATTGGGGGGATGGAGACCCAACATCACTAGAAAGAGGTAAATTCCATAGAGGCGATAGAAATCAAGGGGCAAATTCCTTGTGGTATACAACAGTTCTCATAGTAGAAAGTAAATACAAATAGAAGAGATTTGCAGCAAAACCGCCGGATCCTATTTAAATCTGTAATCTTCAATTTAAGATATTGTGTCCGCACACTGATTTTAAATTTAAGCTCACAGATTACGGAATCCTGCAGTGTTGTTGATCATCCTTTCTAACATCACACATACATGTACTTCTTACCCGGTAAATGTGTTATCTAAAAACAACACTATGCAAAAATTACAGAGCCCTCCAAAGAAGGTAATGATAGCTTTATAACATTATTTTAATTTCATAATGGAGACTGGATGTCAGTTCTAACCTTTGAACAGGAAAAGTGAGGGGTGGTTCTATTTATGTTTAATCATATGCAGAGCCTAGCGTGATTTCTTAATTTATCAACTACCTATATAACTCTGTCAATGCCGGAAGGGGGTAGCAGTCCTATCCTTCTTTACAAATGTTGCATCCTTGATTCCTAAAGTGCTGGGTATTTATAAAAGTGGAGATTTCCAACAAAAGAGGTTTCAGCTTAAGTTTACGCTGATCTCATCAAGTGGTATTTAGGTAGAAACACAAATTTTATCCTTGTTTGACGCACTTAACTAACTACCACAGGATCTAGTCGTATTAACTACCACAGGATCTAGTCGTATAACGTGTCCATCAGGCATGTCAAGGCAAATGTTAAACTTCCCTATCAGCTTAAAGCTGCGTTATTCCGTCTTTGCGTATTGCAGAGTTATCTTCTCTTGTGAGAAGGTATTGATTGTTACGTCATTTGTTTGTGGGAGGAAATTACGTCGTTTTCTCAAAAATTGATGACGTTATTCTCGCAAACAAATGACGTAACAATCAATACCTGCTCACAAGAGCAGATAACTCTGCAATACGCAAAGACAGAATAAGGTAGGTGTAGGTAGTAGTCACAAAACAGATATGTTAGCACCAGTTTTACTAAAATAAAAATATCTTGGATTCAAGTTTTACGCAACTGTGTCATTAATTTCATAAAGCTTTTAATAAAACTGAGTCAAATTATAAATCTAATGGTAAAATAGGCCAAACAAACACAAATTCTGTGTTTCTCATAATGGTATGAAAATACATAAGGTTGGAAGGCAAACAAAGCATTTTATTTTTAATAAAAAATTATTTTTTTAACACATTTAATATTAAGTCGATGGTTTAAGACTAAAAATAGTGATTGTTGATCAAAACCTTAACTAAGTTAAGTAGGGAGACTCAAAAACACAGATATTTATATTCCATGAGGCCTTGCTTGTACATGAATGTTGATTCCCTTCAACGTGTATATTACTCTGTTATTAATGGATTTCAGGTAAACATGCAAATTTAAGTTAATGTCATTAACGATATTTTGCTGTAACATGAATTTACCTTAAGACTTGAATTTAAAAACCAGGTGAGTTCACATTTGTTGGGGTCGTCCTTCATGGCCTTCAATATTAGACCTCCAGGTCCATTCTCGCCTCTGAAAAACATTATATAACATTGTGGGTTAGACTTAACGTTGACCAAACAAGAGGTAAAATGGACCCGTAGGGTTTTTTAAATGGTGGCTTTGACATCTGTCTTTGATTTCAAATCATTTTCAAACCAGTCGGGACCATGATAAGAACTCTTCACAAAGTTTCATCAATGATATCTAAGGTATTATTTGAGTTTGAATTTCAAAATGTAAAATGTCAACTAAGAGTGCAACCCAAACAATGCAGGATGATTATATATAATAAGATATCATTTTCAAGATATTTGAAATAATTTTAATTGCAAATCTTTAAAATGATAAAGTTCAACAAATTTCAAATTTTGATGGAAAAAAAAATTTGATATCAGAAAAAAAGGCAAGAAATATTACCTGTAAATATTTTCAATTTTCGCTTGTACACATTGGTAAAATTAATTAAACTTGGACTGAATCCTGGATTGTATTATAACCTTGTGCGGAGATGAAAATGGGCTAATGGGCAAAAAGGCTGAAAATGAGATTTTTTTAAATCCAAAGGAAAAAATTTAACTTTACGTTACGCTAAAAATCTGAAAATGGCTGAAAAATTGGATTTCTGCTTGGAGTTATAAAGATTACAAAACAAAAAGTGACTGATAGGTCCCTTGGTCAGCCAGTGGATGTTGTACCTGACATATTTTTTCTGTGGAGGCATGTCTGGGTAGGTCGTTCCGCTAGCACAGCTGAGGAAGACACCATCCCGCACGCCCCAGCATCGGACGTTAACAAAGTCTCGGGACGTCACCAAACCTCCCGCAGCCTCAGCTGCGATGCTGTAACTAATCTCGGTGTTGTCATCGATGGTCTCAAGTGTCTGTAAAAAAAAAAAATATATACGACTGTGATTCGTCCTTCTTGTTTGTTATGCTTAATTACACCCGTACTCGAGGTGTTGACCAACACCTATCAGACCTGATTAATGATTAGGCTTTGGTGTGATTTGTCTTCTTAACATAATGAATTACTTGGGTGAATATGTTTATTTAGTTTAACTTCATTAGTATCCTAGCTGGCTGGTTCCAGAAAAAAATCGCAATATTTTAAAAAAACAAGAGGCCCAGAGGGCCTGTATCTCTCAAATGAATACGTTTAAAATAATTGGTATTGGCCAAAGGATGCTCCAGACCAAATTAAGTCAAAATCTACTTGGCCATTCAGGACAAGTAGCGTTTTAAAGGAAAAGTTGACGAACGGGCGGCGGCACCGGACGCTGCGGAATGGCATAAGCTCACCATGGTCCTTTGGACCAGGTAAGGTTAAAAAATCATTATTTTTTTATATATTTTTTTCACCCAAAGAGTTCCTGCACACTAACACACGTGAATATCTACGGTAAGTGGTCAGGTGGTGCAGTCGATAACACTTTCACCTCTCGACCAAAACAGCTGGGGTTAGATTTCCTGATTAAATCTGGTAAGGTATGAGGTCACCAGCCTGACCATGTGGGTTTTTTTACAGTCAAGAATGTTTAATATAAGGTGATCAAACTTGTTTCAGAATTGTTGTAAAATCGTAAATTTAAATTCATTACATGTATTAACAATATATTGCACCTACCCTACATTCCGTTAGTGTGGGGTTCCACTGTGGTGAGGAATTGGTTCCGTAAGCTAACTCTTCCCATATTCTCTTAGGTTCCAAATTCATTATTGCCTGAAAAGTAAATAATCAGATTCAGAATGACGAAAACAAGACCTTTACTGAAACATGAATGTTTAATCACTCAGTCATATAGCTTGACAAAGGGACCAGTCAGGCTTAAAACGTTGAGACACGTCTAATAGTACATTCTTTGTGTAGAAAGTAAAACTTTGATATCATATTTTTTTAATCTTTTCCTGCTTGAAAACCATCATATCTGGGAATTGCCAAGAACTATGTGGAGAATATGAAACTATTGAAGTGAAATGTTCAATATTTAATCTTTTTTTTATCTGCAATGAATTAGAATCTTTTTCATGAATGAAATATGATTGAATTTCAAAGAACAGCCAATCAGTTAAAAACAACATTGTTTAGTATACCATACTGTAAGAACAGATTCTCTGAAATCTTGTCCAATATACTTGACAACGGAAAGGAAGTCTTTTAAACTTAACCACAATTTCTTTCCTTATAGGTCTTTAAAACAACCACATTTTCTCTAAGTTTATGTATTTTCCTATGTTTTTAAGAAGAAGGAGAATATAAAAAAAGAAATCTATTTAACATAAATGCACCAAAGTTGTAAATAGGTCAAGTCATTGTGCTATATTTCCAGTATATAGCAGATAACAAATTACACAGATCTACGTACCTGTAATCTAAACACTTTCCTGTTGTACTGTTTGAAGAACATACTGTGTACAACACCCTGTTCCAGATCATTGCCCGCCTGGTACTTCCAGCCGTCCTCAAGGTTCAACATTTCTAAAGTGATGTCCATCGTCTCGCGAGCCTGTTTCACAAAGTCCTGCTCCTATGTAACGCAAACACACAGTTCCCAATATTGGTGATAACAACAAAATGCATAAAACCATGTTCTGAAGGATGTTACTTAATCATTTCATTTAATCCATATTATTCACTGATGTTCTGTTATACAAAATTGTATCTCAACAAGTACAAAAAGTTTGGGATGACACAAACTGGCCAGCCATGATTAAATACATGCACCTATGATTTTTCATTAAAAAAAGTCTTTTTATTTTTGCACACTTAATTGGTATTGCACAGTTACTATTTTTTTTGTAATATTATTAAAAAAAAGAGTCAATAATCTGAACTTTTGCACTACCAGTCTGGCCTGAAGCAACCATCAGGACCAGGAAGTTAGTGGGAATCCAACAGGGTGCGTCTACACTAAGTATATAGCGCTACGGCAGGTAAAATAGATACACATATCATATTTATCTTAATAGAAGCTACGTCACATTTTTTACAATCTTTTGACACAATTTCATTCTTAGGTAGTCATGGTTGAGTGACATACGCATACAAAAATGTTCAAATATTTAAACCTTTTGTAATGCAAGTGTGACTCTGAAATTCTGTAGTGCATGTGTACCACTGTCGACCTAGATTTTATCAAACGTTACAAGATTGAGTGAATCCGTGTCGTGTAACATTATGTTATATGAGATCAGGACCTAATTCTTGCTAGGTCTTACAACTTCATACTAGCTCGTATCAGTAACCTGTAACCACTATACAAAGTCTTATCAATTCATACTGAATGGCCATAGTAGATTCTTATGACAGTTGTGAGATGAGCATAACACACACACACAAGGTTGATCGCACCTTTAAAATTTGGTAATAGATACGGTAAGCCAAACATGAATTACACTGCTTCATACAGCTGTTTCGTCCTTCTAGGACTCATCAGTGATGTTAGGGGCCAAAAGTTGGATTTCTTGACTCAACTACTGTTGAAATAGAGGGACAGGTGTGTAAAACACCTTAATTTATGAATCTAAGTATTTAGAGGAGTACTGATTAATTAATGAATAGTACAAAGTTGTATGAAGGTTGTTTAAAGATAGTGTCAAGAGAAGCAGCCATTTTTTCCTCCAATAAATTGTGGTCAACAGTGTGAATTTCCATTCGTAGTTATTTTAAGATATCACAGGTGTGAAAGGAGCTTAACTGCTTTACCAAAATAGAACTTTAAATCTTATAAACTGTCATTTTACCCAATAGGAACAATAACTTAATGTTTAGTATATTACAGAAATTATGATAGATGATTTAAAGGTCTTTATGCCAGATTTCATTTCAAATTATCAACAGAAATTATAACCTTCATCTGGAAGATAGAACGGCAGCCAGCAGCCGAACCCTGGGGTGATGAAACGTTTATTTTGAATTTACCCCCGATGTTCACTGGGAAACATACTGGTTAAATAATAGCATCAATTACCATGATTCTTGTTTATGTTTATGCCATCCCTACATATCCTTTTGAAGCAAAAAAATTCAAACAGATTTGTCCTATAAAAAATATCGGTGGTCAGGTGGTCGGGTGGTGCAGTGGATAGTGCACTTGCCTTTCACCAAGGCAGCCGTGGTTCGATTCCCCGATCAGACGTGAAAATGTATGGGGTTATCTGCCCGACCACGTGGGTTTTCTTCGGGTGATCTGGTTTCCTCCTACACTAAGACACCCCCCAAACGCTAACATTCAAGCTAACTTCAAGTGATTGATATAAGTTGTAATAAATTGTTTCATAATTGTTGTAAAACAAATGAAGTTTATATTTACTGTTTTTCCTCAATAATTCCATTCAAACTATACAATTGGATCACATTTAATTTCAAGAGGACCCTATTTCTGACACATGAAGTGTTAGCAATGTGGGAACTAAACAAACATGTAAAGACGTGTCCTAAGTACAAAAACCTTACTTATAGTGTAACAGGGGCATTATATACATCAGATACGGTACCATAGTTGTGCTTGTCAGAAATGGATTGATAACGGGTATATATTGCTATAAATTACAGTAACAGGGGCATTATAATCATCAAATACGGTATCAGCGTTGTACGTGTCAGAAATGGATTGATAACGGGTATATATTGCTATAAATTACAGTAACAGGGGCATTATATACAACAAATACAGTATCAGCGTTGTACGTGTCAGAACTGGATTGATAACAGGTATATATTGCTATAAATTACAGTAACAGGGGCATTATAATCATCAAATACGGTATCAGCATTGTACGTGTCAGAACTGGATTGATAACGGGTATATATTGCTATAAATTACAGTAACAGGGGCGTTATATACATGAAATACGATATCAGTGTTGTACGTGTCAGAACTGGATTGATATCAGGTATATATATTGCTATAAATAACAGTAACAGGGGCGTTATATACATCAAATACGGTATCAGTGTTGTAGGTGTCAGAACTGGACTGATATCGGGTATATATTGCTATAAATTACAGTAACAGGGGCATTATAATCATCAAATACGGTATCAGCATTGTACGTGTCAGAACTGGATTGATAACGGGTATATATTGCTATAAATTACAGTAACAGGGGAGTTATATACATCAAATACGGTATCAGTGTTGTACGTATCAGAACTGGACTGATATCGGGTATATATTGCTATAGGCCAAATCAATCCATTAGCCTTATACACCAGTGTGTATGGTAAAACTTACTCTATGTGACCACTTTTTCTTCAATGTATACATCTATACCAGGATATTTAGCTCAGTGAAATAACCATGCTTCATGGGTTACAAGTTCTAGATTCACCCAGAGTTAATTTTGCGCTTCTCAGTATAAAATACTAAACTAAATTTGCTGTCGAAATTGGCTGTAATGCAAGTTCATCAATGAAGGCTGAAATGGGCGAAAGTTCAACTTTGATGAATATTTCTTCCTCCATAACATTATAAAGTTATAATCTCAAATTTAATGCAAAGACATTCTGAATTCCAACTCTTTTACTAGACTAAATGAACAAGAGGCCCAATGGGCCTGCATCGCTAACCTGTTATTAATCTAACACTTGTAATCTTAAGATTTCATAAGAACCTATTAAAAGATTTAAACATATGACGCCTCTGACCTTGATTGTCGAACAAGGACATTAGATTGAAAGTGGATCAAGGTCATTCATTTGAACTAACATGGTAATCCTTCATCCCAGCATGCTACAGGCCCAATTTCAGTACCCTGGCCCTTTTGCATATTGAAAAGAAGTCACTTGAAGATTTTACGACATTTGACCCTGTGACCTTGAAATTTGGTCAAGGTCATTCATTTGAACAAACTTGGTAGTCCTTGATCCCAGCATGCTACAGGCCTAATTTCAGTACCCTGGCCTTTTTGTTTATTGAGAAGAAGTTGTTTGAAGATTTTACGACATTTGACCCCTGTGACCTTGAAAGTGGGTCAAGGTCATTCATTTGAACAAACTTGGTAGCCCTTCATCCCAGCATGCTGCAGACCCAATATCAGTACCCTGGGCATTTTGGTTATTGAGAAGAAGTTGTTTGGAGATTTTAAGACATCTGACCCCAGTGACCTTGAAAGTGGGTCAAGGTCATTCATTTGAACAAACTTGGTAGCCCTTCATCCCAGCATGCTGCAGACCCAATATCAGTACCCTGGGCATTTTGGTTATTGAGAAGAAGTTGTTTGGAGATTTTAAGACATCTGACCCCAGTGACCTTGAAAGTGGGTCAAGGTCGTTCATTTGAACAAACTTGGTAGCCCTTCATCCCAGCATGCTGCAGACCCAATATCAGTACCCTGGGCCATTTGGTTATTGAGGAGAAGTTGTTTGAAGATTTTAAAGACATCTGACCCCAATGACCTTGAAAGTTGGTCAAGGTCATTCATTTGAACAAACTTGGTAGCCCGTAATCCCAGCATGCTACAGGCCCAATATCAGTACCCTGGGCCTTTTGGTTATTAGGAAGAAGTTGTTCGGGCAGGTGAGCTAAAAATTATCCTTGACCGAACTGTTTCACATTCAGCTGACAATACGTACCCTAACAATGCTTATGAGTTTTGGTGCAAGTTTGAAGGACACATTATTGACAGGATCTAGGTTATTTAAAGCTTGGTCAGCTTATTTTACTGCAATTATAAACAAAAGGGCCAAGTGAGCTAAAAATAGTATGCAATATGTTTTCTGAAGAAAACTTAGAAATGATCAGAGCAACATTCTAGATATGGAATACAAAGTTCATTTTGTGAAATTTAATTTTCACATTTACATGCAAAAAAATAGTTTACGCTGTGTTTAAAGTTGTGGTTTCAAGTTTATTAGCTAGTTATGCAGTGCTTAAACTCCTGTAATGTAACTAAGTAACTGTGATGTTATGAAAAAAGGATTTTTAAATTTTTATAAAATATTCACAGAAATCTATATGGTATATTAATTAGTGTTATGCTGCCTGGCTAATTTAATTCCATGATTAAATCTACGCTTAATGATCAAACGTTAAAAGGGTCAAATGAGACTTACATAAAGCAGATATTTAATATATCTGGTAAATTATTGTATAGTATTATCAAATGACAATCCATTTATTTTCAGCTCGCAGGACGTAAATTCATTAGTCTCTTGGCAATATGAAACCTCATTAAAGTGAGATTAATAAACTTGCCAGTAATAACACTTATTGATGTGTAATAAAAACACCAAGGGTCGTAAATCAATATCTATATTGTGTATATTAACCTGAACAATACAGACGTTAATCAAATATTTATAAACAAATCATAAACCCAGTGATTCCCTCCAATAACGTCAAAGTAAACAAATACCCAAATCATGTTTTCTGGGGCTGGGAAACCATACCAATTTTTATTTTAAAACTGGATAATCAACTTTTAGGAAAGGATTTCATAACCAATATTAGTTTCCTATCCCTTGATTGTAATTACTGCATGATATTGGTTTTTATGATTTGCTTTCTGAATACCTTAGTGAAAGGTCCTGTTTCATAACCAAACTATCATGATAATTAATATATTCAGGCATTCATGTAATTGAAAAAGTTCATGTCAAAATGGTTCTTTATTGAAATTAGCCAAATTGTCCATGTGATATTCTATATCAATGTATCAATGTATTATATCAAGGTAAGTTAACGTACATAAAATTGATAATCAAAATTAGAAACAATCCTATCATAGAGTGCCATTATTCCCAGTGATTTGCATTTAGCTCAATTTAGACTATGTTGCTGACTTTGGATAAGACACTGAAAAGAATTCTATGTCATATTAATTTTTACCCTAATTGCAAGGGGAGACAATCACAAATTCAAATATCTTGTTATTTTTACGACAGGTAACCAATTAAAAAAAAAAAAAAAAAAATGTTGTTGCTTCTTTGAAGTTAAATCCTTGTTAATATGCTGTATGAAGGACAGTAAAAAAACCTTTGTATTCGTGAAAATGAAATGAACAACAGTATGAACATTGGCATCCCTATGAAAAAAATCAATGACTACTGCCTCCCTAGCTACCTCCCACAAATATTTTTTCCACAGTATAATGACTTAACCCAGATCCCTTTTGTACAGTGATTTCAATTCAAATTCAACGGACACCCTTAGAACTGATAATGTTGTCGTACAAGTAACTGGTACCCTGTGGTGTATTACGAAATATCACCATTCTCTCCGAAATATTGATCTGGTTTCATATGTATACAGCCTATAAAGAAATTGAGATCACTGTATACAGTAATTTCATCATATTGTTTAGGACCAATGGCTAGGGATTCAAACGGCGAAATTCCATAGATATGATATGAGTGATCGTAAATTCTATTTACTAATATAATAGCCTTTTCTGTTATTTAACCCTTTACAGTTTTTCTACTGAACTGAGTTAATCAATATCGAAGTCCAGGACCCTGTGTTTTATCACGATTTGTCAGTTTAATGTACACCTACGTCAAATATTTTAAACTAACTATATTTTGAAGGTAATCAAATTTCATTTTTATATTTATGTGTGCTACCCTGACGACCGTTTATTTCTAGTACAGGACATGTAAACAAAAATTGAGATTTAATCATTGTGAAAATATCACATAATAAAATTTTACTTAAATTGTCAGTAACCTAACAATGCTTTATATTTAGCAGTCTAGAGCAATTCAAAACAGAGATTTTAATGTACCCAGTAGATGCGTTTATAAAACCATAATTTTGAAAAAGATTAAGATCGTTATAAAAGGTGGTAATAAACAGTTCATGTTATTTGTTTGAAATAAAGATAGCTCTCTGATGAATTGCTTTAAGGCAGACAGTTCCATCATTTCTCAGCTAACTGCTGTGGCATTTATTTCTTCTGTCATAGAAAATTACACATTGCAAGCTATTTTAGTGAGTTGGGATTTTTTTTACATTAATCCCAGTAATGTTGATGAAAAGAACTTAACAGACATCACAAGTATCATGACTGGCAGCACAATGGATATTATTAGCTCCCTATCTTATGGTCAAGACGTTTGGAGTTCAAATTATTGCCCCAAATTTGTTTTTCTTTTGTGAAAAAGGGCATTTATAAATTATTTGATAAATAATTTATTCCATATATAAATATATATACATTATAATATGACTCTTTGCTATAGTAAATGGGCATGCAACTCCAAGTCAGAAAATGCTATATAAATTGGAACTCTTCTTTGTTGGAGAATCAACCTGTACTTGAAGCTACCTTAAAGAACACTACAGAAGGAATTAGATATTAGGTCATAGTATTTAAGCTATTTCGTATTATTTGCTTTGAATTTAAGAATCACACTGAAAGACAAATACTGACAACAAAGTACAAGTATTTGTATTTACTTTACCTGTAAGATAACACTGTTTGTACCCTAGATCCTATTCAACTACAATGCACCACATAAATGTATGCCAAAGTTTTGGGGCGATAGGTATTTAATGCAATAGGCCCTGGGTGTTTGTCCAAATTTTGTTCAGGAGAAAAAGATTTTTGAAATTTGAATTACTTTTAAGGGAAAATAAATGAAATAAAATCAAAAGTGTTATTTCTGTTTGTAAACTATTGTAAATGTTATCCCCTGCCCAGGGTAATACAATTTATACTTTTGAAGTTTTGATAAAGCACATTCATTTGACATTTCTATCTATAAAGATGTATTTCTGCGTCTAAATACCGTAAGAATCTTTTTGTTTTAATTGTCCATTTGCCCCTTTTGGCCCCATCCTAGCCCTATGGGACCAAAATCGATTTAATTTGCTCTTCCAACATAAGGGTGATCCCATCAGGGTTGAAAAAAAATCCATTCATTGGTTCTTAAGAAGATTCTAGCCAAAAATGTAAAAAGTTTCTCCATGACAGATGTAAACAGATCACAACAAGTTACTTGATCTAAAAACAAATATTATTTTTCTGACATTTTTCATAGCTGGTCATATAATAACATGAAAGTAAAACCGAGAATACTGTTAGGTGTTCAGAATGTGTTGTCGTTTCGTAATTGATGATTTGGTTAAATGCATTAAAGTGTTTCAATCAATTGTCAGACAATTGATTTGGGAGCTAACCCAAATTGTATGGATTTGTATTTTAGAATCAAGCATATATTGGCTATATTCACCTCCAAGTTTTAAAACCTATTTTTCATACACTTTCTGTTCTCTCGTCAAGTAAAGCTGCCTCAATAACATTGCTTATTTTAGGCAGATGCTATATAAGGAGATACAAAAGATGTATGAATAGAAAACAATACAACAGGTGGTAGCGTAATTAAAATCTCTTAATCAACTCTGATATTTTTTATGCTTTTTCACTGGAGGTGCTTCTCTAAATGATAGATTATCAATTGATCATCCAAATAACACTCACTGAGACATGTAAAGGCTCAGATTTCTTAAGTGGAGGAGAAGCTCTTCATGACACGGTGTAAAGTCAGAGTGAAGTATAATATAGTGTTATAGGAGGTGTTAAGTCAGAGTGAAGTATAATATAGTGTTATAGGAGGTGTAAAGTCAAAGTGAAGTATAATATAGTGTTATAGGGGATGCTAAGTCAGAGTGAAGTATAATTTAGTGTTATAGGAGGTGTTAAGTCAGAGTGAATTATAATATAGTGTTATAGGGGATGCTAAGTCAGAGTGAAGTATAACATAGTGTTATAGGAGGTGTACAGTCAAAGTGAAGTATAATATAGTGTTATATGAGGTGTTAAGTCAGAGGGAAGTATAATATAGAGTTATAGGAGGTGTTAAGTCAGAGTGAGGTATAATATAGTGTTATGGGAGGTGTTAAGTCAGAGGGAAGTATAATATAGTGTTATATGAGGTGTTAAGTCAGAGTGAGGTATAATATAGTGTTATATGAGGTGTTAAGTCAGAGGGAAGTATAATATAGAGTTATAGGGGGGGTTAAGTCAGAGAGAAGTATAATTTAGTGTTAGAGGAGGTGTTAAGTCAGATAGAAGTATGATATAGTGTTAAAGGAGGTGTTAAGTCAGATAGAAGTATGATATAGTGTTATAGGAGTTGTTAAGTCAGAGTGAATTATAATATAGTGTTATATGAGGTGTTAAGTCAGAGTAAAGTATAATATAGTGTTATGGGAGGTGTTAAGTCAGATAGAAGTATGATATAGTGTTTATGATATAGTGTTATAGGAGTTGTTAAGTCAGAGTGAAGTATGATATAGTGTTTATGATATAGTGTTATAGGAGGTGTAAAGTCAGAGTGAAGTATAAAATAGTGTTATAGGAGGTGTACAGTCAAAGTGAAGTATAGTATAGTGTTATAGGGGATGCTAAGTCAGAGTGAAGTATAAAATAGTGTTATAGGAGGTGGTAAGTCAGAGTGAAGTATGATATAGTGTTTATGATATAGTGTTATAGGAGTTGTTAAGTCAGAGTGAATTATAATATAGTGTTATAGGAGTTGTTAAGTCAGAGTGAAGCATAATATAGTGTTATAGGAGTTGTTAAGTCAGAGTGAATTATAATATAGTGTTATAAGAGGTGTTAAGTCAGAGGGAAGTATAATATAGAGTTATAGGGGGTGTTAAGTTAGAGTGAAGTATAATATAGGGTTATAGGGGGTGTTAAGTTAGAGTGAAGTATAATATAGTGTTATGGGAGGTGTTAAGTCAGATAGAAGTATGATATAGTGTTTATGATATAGTGTTATAGGAGGTGGTAAGCCAGAGTGAAGTATAATATACTGTTATAGGGGGTGTTAAGTCAGTGTGAAGTATAATATAGTGTTATAGGAGGTGTTGAGTCAGAGTGAAGTATGATATAGTGTTTATGATATAGTGTTATAGTGATGTGGAAATCACTTCTATTAAGTCAGGTGGTGAATATTCAAGTAGACGTCAGAAGCAGGGTAAGGTTTGTTCAGGTGTTTAAATAGTAAAAACGACAAATTTAAATCCTCAATGGAAAATATCGTTAAGATTTATTTTACAAATTCAATGCAGCTTTTTAGAACACAAACAAATGTACTGCTACTTGAAACCACATATGACAAAAATATTAATAACAATTTTAAAAAGTTAACTCTTTATGACAACTTTAAACTTCAAACATTAACTCTTTCAGAGTATAGAAATTATAATGTCAGTTGAAAATAAACATAACTGAATATGTGAAACGCTTTGTATGCCATTTAATTTATCAGTGTAAACAAGGTTTACAAAACAAGTTATTTTTTTTTATAGATATCTTTGTTTAATGTGTATGAACAATCATGTACTTATGAATAATGTCATATATGTCTTGTCTTGTAAAAAAAACCACTTTCCAATGAAGAAGATCAGGGACTTGAGTGTAGACGGAGAGAGGGTAGGATAGAAAGAAGCTGTGAGGAAGTAAGTGTAGACAGTAGTAGATAAAGACATACCCGGGCCCCCATACTACTCATGGATGATTGACTTGCCTGCCTACTATGGCCACGTCGCGGCGTCTGAAACCCACCACGATGTTCCCCCTCGTCATCAGAACCTGCAAAGAAAAAAAATAGATTTTGTTATTTGACTCCGAAGAACTATACCTGCATGTAGGTATCTCTCCGACAACATTTGGTTATTTGTATTTAAGGATCCTTGTTCAACTGTAAGCAAAACAACATCCTCGGTAATCTAGGGGTTACGCTCACTTTCAGTCACTTGTACATTTTCACAGTGACAAATTACAACCTTTAAACTGATACTATAAGTGGCTTATTTTCACATTTGAAAAGTTTGTCCGTTATATGTCAATAATTTCACTTCATATCACATTTTACATTGACAAATGGCCCGCAACATTTAAGAGAAATGCAATGCAGTGGTACATTGTTTTTCATCAGAGATTATTGGAATATTGTTAGCTGGATTTTTTTTCCCGTTTCTCAATACCAAAAGTTTGAAAAGGGTGGCTGTGGGGCTAGTACTTATGTTACTAAACTGTTACAAATTGTATAACAGTAAAACTTAAGAGACTAAGTCCAAAAAAGTGATCTCTTGACCCATTTACCCCTTAAGACACATTTGAACTCTTCCAATTCAAAGGTTTGAATAGTTCATTGTGAAATTTCAGGGGTGAATGAGTTATGAAATCAGATTGCATGAGGTCATAAGTAGGTTAGAGTTAACATATTTCTTAAATTTATTTAATTTTCATATCAATCAATATTTCAGCGTAAATGTGCACACTTTTTGACACCTTGGATCTTAACTTTTGATCATCAAACATGTTCATGCAAGCTGTGGCAACTTAACAAATCCATAATTGAAAGGGTTAAAAGCCAGTGAGACATTGTGTAACTATTAGCAGCTGAATCTGTCTGGGTAAGGGGTATATGTTTATTACAAAACTACACGAAATCATTACAAAATAGCGCAGAAACTCCGAGGACAATTATCAATACACATATCTCCGCCATTATACATACCATATTAGCACGTAGTACGGTGACTTTAAATTCCAAATTTTAAATCTTCCTTGTAAATAACACTTACTGACATATTAAGAGCAGACTGTTGGGACTTTTATCCTACCAAATGTTATATAATCTAATGCATATCTGTTGTTATACAATGTGACTTAAGTGATTACAACACTGGTCTCGCACATAAAGTTACAATATATCCAAGTCTCCCGTATTCTGGAGGGAGGCCCAAAACTTCATACATCCAGCTTTTGATTTTTGATTTCAGCAGATGAGATCGCTGTGGCTTAATTATAACCTGGGACACAGCTTAACCTAAACCGAAACTTGTTAATCCTTAAGAGCATTCTTAACTTGAATATTCATCAGTTTCGCATTTCGTTTCCAAAATTCTACAGTCAGATTATATAACAATTCATCATGCCTCCACAAAGCAACAGCTTTTTGGTCGATTTTTGTCACAAGAATAGCACTACAGTGCTAATGTTATGTTACATGTATATGAGTCTTTAAATAAAGCTTCTTGAATTTTGAGGTTTGTCTTGGTTTCTCTTATGAGTATACATTCTTCATAACCTGGACACTTGATATTGGGAATCGGGTTATCCATACCAAATTAGTGCCCCCTAGATGGGCTCCATGGGGGTTAGGAACATTGATAATGGCAAGAAGGAATGTATTAACATAAATTCATAAATATTTTCCTAATTGACTGATTGTTTAAGGGAATATAACCCTTGAACATGTTTGCCAACTTTTTGAAATTTCCATGGGGGAGATTATGTGTGCTCAGAATTAAAAGCATAAACAATATGTGTGTATGTACACCCCAGAAGAAAATAACACTTATATGGCATCTTTTGAGCTGTTCTTTCAAATGAAATCATCAGATCTTAGAAAAATAGGAATAGTTAAGCACATTTACAGGTTGAAAATGCACAATTTTCGGGTCCCAAATCGGGAGTCTCCCTTCTAAATAGAGAGGGTTGGCAAGTATGCTTGAAATCAATCTGTTTTAGAGAGCTGAGAATGATCTTAAAGTTATAAAATAATATATGTAACTATGGGATATTTTTTGTTTCAATTACCACTCCAGCATGACTCTAGACACCTTTATGACAAATTTTCCTCAAAATTTCATTTGGATTTTTTTTACACAAACCTTAAAAATCTATGCATTAAATGTTCATGGCATTATCAACTGCTCGCAAAAGGCACAAACAGTTTTTCTTTCAATGATTTTGAGATTTTTTTTTATATTGATTCTAGCGATAATGTGACAATGAAATGTGACATTGCAATTGACATTTAAAAGCCGGAAACAGTCGTGGGCTGGCGTTTGTTATTATGATGGAAACAGTCGTGGGCTGGCGTTTGTTATTATGATGAATATACATATGTACTTAAATCTACATTTTGATGACCTTTTTTTTCAATAAAGCTGCGATTTCTTATCGGTGAATTTGATTATCGTTTCTCTGTGCAGCCAATCCTAAAAGTTGTACTCACCTACAAATTCATTCTTAATTAATGAAGTTCTGATGGGCGTCATAGAATATTTATATTTATGTTGATTGTTCATCAATATACCAATAGCTGATCATGAAGGCAACAAGTTACGATAGTCAATACATTATAAGTACGGTCCAATACCTACAAACATGTGTGGGATGTAACGATCTGTTCAATTAATTAACAGCTAGATGACATATTTAGTCTAATAGATTTTATACTGACTCTACAGAAATAATGGTATTTTCATTATTTCTGTTGGTTGGAAATAATTTTGAATCACAGGACATTATACAGTAAATCTTCAATATAACGCCTCTCTTTTCTTTTTCCACCTCAATTATCGCCAATATTTTCAAGATTCTGTCTTCCTTTTTTCTTCATAAATACTTAAATTTATACCTCTTCTTCAAGAAATCGCCAAGCTCAGTGACAATATGCCAAAATGATGATGGGAAAAATGGTGACATATATGACGGTTTTGCTGTACTTTATTTCTGCATTCAAGATTTTGAAAATATCACTGATTCAAGTTAAGACTGGATCCGACTGAAATTGGGGTGTGTAATTTTAACAATTGAGTTCTAGCCCATGAGTAGGAAACAAGGAAAATGAAGAAATTTTAGCACACTGACTCCTTTGAGCCCCACCCTACAGCCTTTGGGGGGTAGGACTGGCTCAAAATTTGGCTCAAAATTTTCAAAGTATCAAACTGTCAACTCAAGGTCATAATTCCAATCAAGTTATTAACATGTAATATTCAAAGTATCATTTGCCATTAAAAACCATAATAAATTTTGCCCCCCCCACCCTCCTTCCCCAGGGGCTAAACGTTGAGACCCTAGGGTCATAAACCTTAAGACCCTTCTAACTGGGGGTCAGTCAGGGCTCATATGTGCATACTATCAAACTCCTACCTAACACTGATAATGCTAACCCAAATTGAATTACTTCAAATGGAAATTAAACAAATGTTGGTCCAAAATGTGATTTCCCTATATAAACTATAGTAAAGTTTCCCCCCTCCCCAGGGGGAAACGTGAGACCCCAGGGTCAAAAAATTCACAATTTTGGTAAAGCACCTGAAGACCCTTCCATATATGAAGAGTATTTGATTCTATCATATCTGGGTCTTGAGAATAAGAGATTATTATATTGAGATACTATAGTAAAGTTTACCCCCTCCCCAGGGGGAAACGTGAGACCCCAGGGTCAAAAAATTCACAATTTTGGTAAAGCACCTGAAGACCCTTCCATATATGAAGAGTATTTGATTCTATCATATCTGGGTCTTGAGAATAAGATTTTTGAAATTTTAGTCAATTTGACCCTTTTTGGCCCCAGCCAAAAATACAATTTTTATAGGACTTCATTTCTCAAAGAATATCAAAATCAGAAGATTTTGCCTAATTGTAACATTTACAAAACATCTCTTGTTTTTAACTATTTAAACTAAATAATTATTTTTTAAATTAACTAGCCCAAAGTATTTTCGCTTAACACATACCGAAGATACTTTGAATTGCAATCAAATTCACATGGCCATTCTATAAATACACATTACTAGACCTTTGGCCGATATTCAAAGACTTGTGCTATTTTACGCTGTGATCAATTTCAAAGTTGAAGTGTCATTTAAAAGACCATTATCATTGACCCATTAAGTCACTTGTGCATACTAAATGCGTGTCGGTTTTAAATATTTACACAGTATTATTTACAAGAACTGAGGTATTGTACTAAATCTAATTCAAATCTCCATATACATGTATACACAAATGACGGTTAAATTTGACCCATTATGAAATCGCGACCCTGTGAGGCTGTTTTTACGGGTTGCTAAGCTTTGCTAGAAAATAGAAGGCTATCCCTTGAGAGGCGTATTATACACTCATGAACAACGTCATTAATGATTAGGTAAAACCGTAATCTGGGATTACGAAACAGTCTCAGACGATAAAATTAATACATTTCTCTTGGAAATCAGTCTGAATTTTACAAAACAGTCAATATTTAAAACATGTGTCAAACATACTTTTAGTGTGGATGGAAAATTATTTGCAGTGCTAACCAACGACAAGAAACGAAGACTGTCATACGATACAGAGCTGACGGATCAGTATCTTGCAGATGACAACAATTTTAGGAACTAAGAGACAGATTCTACGGAACTGTGTGAAAAGTATTATTATTGAGTGCGAGATCGGTATCTGACTATAGGCTCGCGTACATGTATACGTGTGGCCGCCAGAGATTGACTCCTCTGGTTCTACCGATCAATATGATTTTGAAGTGTGTTCACGATGTGTCACTGATATGTCTGTGTATTTGGAAGGTATGCTGTGGATATTTTTCTCTAAAATGTATTCCGGTAAGTTTTGTACGATAGTGTAACGCTCCACTGAAGAAAACTAACGGCTTTTTTCTGTACTTTAATGTCAATTCAAGATTCTTTGTGTCAATTTTGATGTTGTTGATATTATGAAATGTACGTTTTATGTCATATTCGTTGGAATACATCTAAATAATTTTATATTACGTTTTCTTCATAATGTGAAAC